ACTCTCGGACGCCCCGCACGGTGCACCAGAGCAGCTACGCGGACGTGCTGCTGCGACCCCCATGGCGGGCATCCTGCGCTGCGGGAAGATGCTGCCGCCGCAGCTGAACCTGGTGATAGAAATCGAGTTCGCAGACGCGACGACTGCGCTGTGGTCCGAGAACGCCGGGGCGCACCCGGCGGGAGCCACGCTGAGCACCGACTTCGAGATCCAGAACGTCCGAGTTCTGGCCTCCCAGGTCGTCCTGGACTCTGCGCTGGACCGCATGCTCCTCTCAGGAAGGTCGCTTGTGTTCAGCTACCCACGGTGCACACACAGCAAGCAGTCCACGGTGCCTCCGAGCGTGGCGGAGCACAACGTCACCGTCGCTGATGGGAGCGTTCGTGACCTTCTGGGACAACGACGCGGGCTCTAAGATCCACTTGCTGGCCAACCCGGGGCAGGACGTGGCCCCCATCGGAGCGGCCAGGCAGGAAGACAGTCTCCTGGAGTCGCAGATGCAGCTGGGCAGCCTGCAGTACCCGCACAATCCTATGAAGGGAGCCTCCTTGCGGGGACCTACGACGACACGGTGCGCAACATCGACATCGATCGCGCGGGCTACCTGCGCCACAGCTTCATCGCGGGCTTCCCGACCGAGCGCGTGCCCAAGATGCCCCTGAGCGGCGTCAGCACCCGTTCGGGCGACCTGGCTCGGTTCACTTTCAAGGCGCTCGACGGCACGATGACGGACGTGTTCATCCACCTGATAGCCTATCAGCTGGTGACGCTCTCTGGGACTGGAGTCTCTGTGCTGGACTAGCAAGGATCCATAGCTCAATGGGAAGAAGCGCTGCAGCTCTGAAGCTTGGAGACCGTGGGCTCGATTCCACCCGGGCGCGGATCATTTTTTCAGGCGAGTGCCTTTGGGAATTCTTTTTCTCCCTCGACCCGAGATGGATCTTTCAGGCGCTCTATGTCGTCGGGTCGACCGATGATCTGCGGCGGTGCCTGTGGCTCACATTTAGGCGCACGTACGGCCTGCACCGCCGCGAGCCCTGCTGCTCCTGCGCCCACTAGGTCCACTGCTGCCTGCGCTCCGTGCGGAAGCCTTCCTCAGGAATTGCCCGCAGGGGCGTGTGCTGCAGAGGCTGGGGGTTGGGGTCCTTGCTGGACTGCACGAAGTCGTCCAAGTAGAAGTGGCTTGTGATGAACGACGTGGCCTTGGGGCAGCGGCTCATTCCGCTCAAGGTAGCCCACAACCTGCTCGAAGCGCGGGCGCTGGCTGAAGCCGTGGGACCGAAGGCCCTTCATCTCTTTTATCCGTTACTGCGCGGCAACTTCGTCCGCTGCGCGTTCAACGCCCCGGCGCTCGGCGCGCGCGTAGCGCAGCTGCGGGAACCTGGCGGTGCACTGCCTCCGTCAGCCGGCTCACGTCGTCCAGGCGCCGCTGCCCCTCCTGGGCCAGCCTGCGCTCCCCCAGCCAGTTGTTGAAGGCCCGCGCCTCCTCCAGTTCTCGCTGGCGCTTCAGCAGCAGCGGCTGCAGGTCGTAACGGGTACGTCTTGCGAAACCATCGAAGCATCTGCGGCTCGTTGCGGGGTTCAATGGACATCATCTCGCTTTTCATACCAGTACGCTTGCGCCCGCCGTCAGCCGGTCGTAGGCCGACTGCCTCTCCAGCATGCGCATGGCGCGCTCGCTCGGGCCGCGCCTCGGGCCGTACCTCTCTGTGTACCTCGGGCTCGGGCTGTACCTCGGGCTCGGGCTGTACCTCGGGCTCTAACTGGCTCTGTCTTGGGCGCTGCCTTGGGCTTGGGTGCTGCCTTGGGTGCAGCCTTGGCATGGCAGCTGGCTTGGGTGCTGGCTTGGGTGGCACGGGCGCTGCCTTGAATACTGCCTTGAGTGCTGCCTTGGCCGTGGGCGCTGCCTGGGTCATGGCTGCCTTGGGCTTGGGCGGGGAGCGCGTTGCCTTGGGCTTTGCCTTTGTGGGAAATCTCACCGGAAGGGGGAGTCGATTTCGTATGCTGGCTCTGTGGGCAGGTCGGGGATCATTTTTTTGCTCTTCGGCAGGGGCAGCATGGGCGGCTTCGCTCCCATCGGCTTCTCTTTCCAGTGCGAAACGCTCTTCGAAGCGCGTGTAGAACATTTGACTCTTCGGTTTTAGGTAGTAGACGAAGAGGAAACTGTAGGGGTCCTGGTCGCCTGCTCGTAGATCCTGTGCAGCTTGTCCTTCGGCAGCAGGGCGCTCAGCTCTTTGATGATGGCGTCCAGCTCGTGCTGGTTGCGCAGCCTCCAGCAGCAGAGGAATTGCTGATTGACCCGCACCGCTGCGCTGATGAGCCTCAGCTTCTGGTGCTGATTTGCATGCGCCGGCCTCTGTGTCCAGGGCACCGTGGGCCTTGTGCAGCTGCGGCGTGTCAGCAAAGTCGTTGATGACTACAAGCACCTGGTACAGTTTCTTCATTTCCATCTTCTTGGACGTCTCGGTGATCTTACGCTGCCTCTGGATGATGCTCCGCAGCGCCGCCTCGTCCCACTCGTCCCAGTAGGCTTGCTCCCTTTCTGTATTCACCCCCAGGTCCTCCTCAATATACTTCTTGACGGGAATCCAGCCATCGTTGATCCCAATTCAAGGACTGAAGATGTAGATCCTTTCGAAGACGCCCCTGTACTGCTCCAGAATCAGGCTGATCAGAGCCATGCCGGTGCATGGCACCAGGGGCACCACGGGGTCCGACGATTGTTTGCTGCTGTATTCTGGCGTGGGAAAAAGCTTGATCTTCCCCATTCGTTCCTTTGCGTTACTTGCCAAAATTCGAAGCCGGGAAGCCGGGCGGCGAGTGCGGGAGACAGCTGCTATTCGACAGGCCTCTCCCGTTTTCAGGGATAAAGCTAAAGGCTGGCATGCAACTGAAGTACATGGGAAGCAAGGCGTGGCTGGCGCCACACCTGTACCGGGCTGGGGGACGTCGCTGTGCTTCACTCTCCCTTCTTCGGTTCTGGAAAGCTGGAGTACTACCTCGCCGCCAGGCGTCCGGGCCTGGAGGTGCGCGGTGTCGACGCCTTCGAGCCCGTCGCAAACCTGCACCGCTGTTACTTGATCTTCCTGCGCTCCTTGCTGCGCCTGGTGGGGCGCAAGGTGGACAGACGCTTCTACTTCAGTCGCCTCCTGCCGGGCTCACTGAAAGGCCGTGCCGGGCGTCGGGCTGCCTGCTCATACACCCTGCTGCGCAACAGCTTCTCGGGAAAGTGGGGCTCCTTCGCACAGCAGCGGCCACTGGCACTGAGCAGCGTGCGGCGTCTGCAGCGCCCACCGACAAACGTGACCGTGCGGTGCCAGGATGCGCTGGCCTATCTACGCGCCTCCGAGGTGTCTCATGGTCCGTGTCGCCCCATGAGACAAGCTTTGTCCTGTAAAACTATGCATAGCTTCGCCGGTCAATTCATCATGTGCTACAGGCCGAGGTGTCAGTACCGTGTCCCAAGTGTTTTGACCGACGCCGTCGGTCAATTCATCATAACCACGGTACAGCGAGGTATCATAAGTGAAGGATAAGTGAAGGATAAGTGAATGATATGTTCTTGCCCGAGCACAGGGGCATAATGGAGTCGGCCCCGCTGTAGAGCTCCCAGGCCTCAGGCACGTCGTTGATGCTCAGGACGAAGGGCAGGCCGCTTGCGAAGAGCGCGTCTTGGAGCTCCGAGTGGAAGGCCAGGTCATGCCCCCGCCTCCTCGCGCATGGTGCGACCGGGGAAGATGTAGGGAGGGTCGGCATAGATTTACTGCCGCGACGCCAGGCAGGGCAGAGCTCAAGCGCTACCTTGTCTCATGGGGCGACACGGACCATGGAGGCTCAAGCGCTACCTTGTCTCAGCTGTCTCTGCAGCACCCACCAGCGGCACAAGAACGAAGTCCACTCACTCACTTCGTGTACTGGTAGCCAAGCACGGAATTGAGGGATATTTTCAGACTTCGTCACTCCACGGTACAGCGAACGGTATCATAAGTGAATGATATTTTCACTCGCTTCACGTACTGGCACGGAATTGAGGGATATTTTCCCTCAAAGCTTCACACGACCACGCTACGACGAGATGACTCCATCGATTTTGCCCGAAAATCCTGGTCCATAGCGACTCAAGGGGGCCGTTGCGAAAGTACAACACCCCATCGTTACGAATTCGTGCCTGGAGTGGTGGTCGGACAGGAAAAGTGGTCGAATGTACACTTTTTCGGTCTGACCAAAATCAAGTGCACTTTGGCCTGGTCGGATGATATGAACAAAAAAACTGGTCGGACGGCAAAAAACTGGTCGGACCGCCTTGATCGAAGGTTGTGTCCTAGATTAACTGATGTTTAGCGCGCATGCGTGTCATGTCTCAGCATCTTCACTGAGATGAGTGCATCTTGAGCCTACGGGTGTCACCTTATAACTTTAAGGCCTTGCAGCTGGGCCTGATGCGCGTGATGTTTTTTGCAGTGATGCGCTGCTTGCTGTGTTCTTTTCCTTTGGTGGGCGTGTGCAGCACCAAGCCGGCGCATGGGTTTTAGCTGTATTTGATCAATAGGAGTTGCCACGCGTGCTAAGCAAACACATATTCATGACACGCGTTCCACATATGTGGGGCAGGGGATTATTGCAACAGTTGTTCAATATTCAAGGGTGATTTGCGTACACTGACCATGAAAATTCAGCTGTTTGCAAGAAATATCACCTAGTTCCAGTGCTTGGTCAACCCTGCAGCGACCTTGGGAGTGACACAGCCCGCGCCGCCTGCTGGTTCCAACCATGTCGGCAATTTGCAGCGCTACACGTGTGTGTGCATGTTGGCAAGGACATGCGTGACACATGCATCATGGCGTTCAGACCCTAGCCAGCGGGCCACCTTGCCATGGGTCGTGCCACTGTGGAGGAGGGGGATGCGATGGTTGCTGCGTGGCAAAATGCCAAAAGTGATATCGCGCAGGCCATTTGTTTACACGTAGTACTTCCATCTCATTTGCGGCGCACTGCGCTAGGCGGATCTCCTGGCTGGCGCTGATCTAGATGCGGTGGATGGAGATGATGATGTGCAAGATGAGCGGTGTAAACTGAATGTTGCACTTCTGGTGGTGTGTTCTGTCTGCATTGATTGCATTTTCATCATTGCCCTTTTGCTTGCCACGCCCAGGACGCTGCCCATCATGGAGAAGACTGGGGCGGTCTGGTCCACGGATGACTTGGAGGTGTGCATCCTGAGGAAGTTCAAGGACTGCACGCTGATCGAGTTTGCAGCACAATATTGTTGTATCATTTAAGGGGGGTTGGACCTTGGTCTGCGATGCCATTGTTGATCAGCAGTGAGTATGTGATGCGCGACACGTGCATGCTGGCACGGCATTAGCACATGTACATTCATGCATGTGGCGCGCACTGCGCATCAGTGCAGTTGGCCTTTTTGCAAGCCATGGCTGCGCCTGGCGCCCGCCGAATCTGGAGCAGTGGGCGCCGCAGATGCCCCTTCCTTTTGGGGCGGAGCTGGACCTGAGGCAGATGGTCTGCCTAGGACAGGGTGAAAACGCACGCTCCTGGACTATCTTACCACTCTGCCATTGGTGTTTTTCAGGTTCGTGCATTATGAACGTTCACTGTTTTTGTTGGCGCGCCCTCAACTCTTTAAACTTTCAACTCCTAAGTATCCATGATTTCCACATGCACCGGTTATGTTTGCATTTCTCACATATGTGATGTTTCATTGGGAGTGCACACTCACTTGATCACTCACTCACTCACTCACTCACTCACTCACTCACTCACTCACTCACTCACTCACTCGCTCGCTCGCTCACTCACTCACTCACTCACTCACTCAGTGCTCACTCACTCACTCACTCACTCACTCACTCACTCACTCACTCGCTCGCTCGCTCGCTCACTCACTCACTCACTCACTCACTCAGTGCTCACTCACTCACTCACTCACTCACTCTCACTCACTCACTCTCTCACTCTCACTCACTCACTCACTCACTCACTCACTCACTCACTCACTCACTCACTCACTCCCTCACTCACTCTCACTCACTCGCTCACTCGCTCACTCACTCTCACTCACTCACTCGCTCGCTCGCTCGCTCACTCACGCACTCACTCACTCACTCACTCACTCACTCACTCACTCACTCACTCACTCACTCACTCATTTTTTTTGAGCTTCCCCTTGAAGGCGGTGGCTTTGTGCCAGAATGGTCGCAGCAGGCTCCACCCTTCGTGGCGATCCCGTTGATCACCTGGTGGGGGGTCGTGACCGGTGATGCGGCTCAGGCCCAGGGCAGTACTGGTGGCGGTGCTGCTCAGAGTGGTCAAGCAGATGGAGGTGATGCAGGGCCAGATCCCGGGGCCCCATCGCACACGGGTGAGGCGGCTACACACATGTTCGTCTGGTTTCTTTTATGAAGTTTTTTGCCATGTGTTAGTTGCAGCTTAGATGTATGATCCTGACGCATGCTTGTTTGGGCTCTTGTCAGCAGGATCTGCCTGATCTGCCGGTCGAAGCTGCAGTGCTCAGCCCGATGCTCTCGGAGACGCCTGCGATGACGGTTTCTGAATTCCACTCGCCGACGGAGGTGGTCAGCACGGTCGATCGCAATGGGGGGTACACCCGCGACTGGGCTGCTGAAAGTGATGCACTTTTGGTGTTGTGTACTTTCTACCCAGCTTTAAGTGGTTAACATTCAGGGCTGCAGGGAAATCGCACTCCAGCAAGCTCAGGGTCTCGATCGGCCACGCGTGTGGATGCCGTGCCTTGCCATTCTTCCATCATTTTCTGGGTTGTTTTTTCCTTCTGTGTTTTTGATTGCTTTTTGAAGCAACTTTGTTTGGGCTGCAGCTGTGGAGGTGGCTGCTGATGAGCTCGCAGATGTACCTGCACAGACTGCACATGTGCCTTATTGAATTGTCAGTCTTTCATTGCTTTCTGGGTTTGATTTGAGTTTAATGTTTTGAAGAGTTGCTCCTTAACAACAGTCATGCTTGTTTGCAGCTAGGCTGTCGGAGCTGGTCAGCCATCAGATGTGCCTTGACCTTCTTTCATCTCCCTTGGTTTCTTTTGTCATTTTTTACTTTGTGTTTGAGGGGTCGCCCTTTTAAAACAAACACGATTGTTTGATTGCAGCTATTCACGGGGCTGTGTCAGCCAATAGAGGTGCCTCGCCCTTCTTTCATTCTTTCCTTTTTTTATGTGCATTGAAGCAGCGCTCTTTTGGTTTGACTGCCTGGTCAGCCATCAGAGGCGCACGCTGTCTTCATTTTCCTGTGTTGATTTTGTTTTTGCAGCTTGCTTTTTGAATTCTTCTTGAGCAAACACTCCTGTTATGTTTGATGGCAGCTGCTGCCTATGTGAGGCAGTGGGCGCATCACCTCTTGACGCACTTCCTGCGCCTGAAGCCGCATGCCAAGTGGCTGGTGCGCCCTCGAGGCAGTGTTGCAGCTCTTTTGCCAGTGCCGGGCTCGTGGCGCTAGTCCATTGGGCTGGGCTTTGGGAACTTTTGAGCAGATGTGAACACATGTGGACATGAAGATTCAAAGATCAGCTCATGTGTGATGCAGCCAGCGCCCAGAACTTGCTGCTGCGATTCGAATGGGTCCAAGGGCGAATTTCCAGATGCTAGGTGCTGATAGCTAGTAGTGTGCTGCAGGTGCATTGCAATCACTGTAATGAGCTACCATCCATTTCGCATCCAGTACCGCAGCACGCGCAACTAGCCGATTTGCGGGAACACTGATCGATGGGTATATGGTTGAAAAGAGCAGAGCAGCATTTTCTTCAGCGCGCACATGCAGTGTGTGTGTGTGTGTGTTTGGGCAGCGCTGTGTCTTGCAGCTTTGCGTTTGCAGGACACTGGAAGTCCTGCGCTTGCCCGAGCTCAAGCCCTTTGCATCCGGTCCATGGACATGCTCTTAGAAGTGCTGAGTCAGGTGCAACTCAAGTCCTTGTTGAAGCTCCACAGTAACAGCATCACATGTGATATGTGCATGTGATGTGTGTTGCACATTTATGCGTGTGGGTTTTGAGATCGTTCGTGCCAAGAAGAGGGCGCCCACCTCGAAGAGGTCTCGTGGCTGGCTCCAGCCTTTGAAGGCCCGGCAGCAGCATGCCAGTGATTTTGAAGCTCCAGCAGATGTTGCTGTTGCGGTTGCCCCCATGCGTGTGCCAGGGTGCGGTTGGGCCCAAGCTGGGTGGCAAGAAGTTCTTGCGGAAGGCTGTTCCAGGCGTGCTTCATCAACTGCTTTGCCATTAACCCTTCTATTCGTGCGCGTTGTAGGTCCGATTCAGAACCCAGACAGTGCATGCGCATGGCCATCTTTGTGGCTTCTCAGGATGCTGCGCGTGCGTGGAAGAACTCCTTTGTGCGTCAGCTGCTTGGTTGCATCTAGTTGCTGCTGGAATTCAGCCTGTGCCCACAAGTGATAATAGTGCTGGCCACTCAGGTTCTACTTAAAGTGGTTTTATGCGCCTGAGCTCAAGTGCAATGATGCTAGGAGTATCCTTGATACACTTTCGGAGTCGGAGCGCAAACGCCGACGATACTGATATGGGAACTGTACATATGCTGCTGCATTGCATGTTGGAACTGTGAATGTGTGGTCACTGAGCTGACCATGGTGCGATGCAGGAATCACTGAATGTCAAAAGTGTAACATGTGCGTGTGCGATGTCACTTGAGTCATACTGCACTGTTTGCGCCCTGGATGTGTTTGCTGCACAAATGCATGTTGTGCGATGCGGGTTGATGTGCAGTGGGCCAAGCGCTTGACCCAGTTGGCCACGTTGCGTGCACTGCGTCACAACTGCCCCGAATCAAACAAACATCTTGGGCCTGTGTGCCTGCTGATCCCCATGCCACCCAGCCAATGGCAGCCCGTGGGCCCATTCCCACTTGTTGACTCCTTGCTGAAACGCCATGTGAAGCTTCACTGCATCATATCATGACACTTTGAGTGGGTGATTGTTGCACATGCGTTTGTGCGTGGCGTGTGTGTGCGCGGTTCAAGCAGCTGAGGCCCCGATCTTTAGTGGTGATCCTCCATTTGCTCTGCTATGTGCACTGCATTGCTGATGTATACAATGATCTGGATGTGGTGGAATTATTTTCAGGCCGTGGCAACTTCTCACATGAGGCTAGGGGTCGGTTTCTTGCAGTTCGTAGTTTTGACCGCGACTCTGGGTGTGGCCTTGATATGACCACTGCAAGTGGCTTCCTGCCTCTTAGCTGACACAATTTTTGCAGACATCACCGACTTAAGTCGATTGTTACATTCATGTTTAGCTTGCGTGGATGCAACTCAGGCTGGCAGTAGTTCTGGTCAGAAGACTCCGCAGAAGAGGATTTTTGCTACTTGCGCCTCCTTGTGGCCTGGCCCTGCATTTGTGCAGATTGTTGCGTGTGAATGATGGTGATGTGCATAATCATGATGGTCTTTCAGGTTCGTCTTTTACTTTCAGCAATATGGGGACCAGCCGCCGGAGCTTCTTGTGTCCTGGAGGACTCCAATCCGAGCCCACAGTGCGTGTTGCCAACTTGGTGGCTGCGCGATCCATAGTGCTGGCTTTGCTTGCCAATGCTATGGACATTTGGACAGTTTTAGAACAACCAGCGCACCAATCAGGCTCTGCCATGGAGCGGCTTGATATCTTCCAGCACTATCTGTCAGTGGTAGATGTGTACAGGACTCGCTTAGCTCAGGCCGCGTTTGGTGCCATGACACTGAAACCAACCTGGCTCTACAGCAACCACATGGCCTTTGGCTGGATGGCTGGTGTGGATCTGACAGATGATGCAACGAGCCGCATCCACCAAACTGGATCTCTCATGAGTTCGAAGCATGATGCCCCTTGGCTATGGCTTGCGTGTGTGTGTGTGTGCACGGGTGTGTCATATGCTCACACAGCATGTGTGTGTCCTTGTACTAGGAGGGTGGGCGCCTTCGGCTCACTGGCATCCCTGACAAGCTCAAGTCAAGCCAGCCACTTGCTTACTGTTGCGCTGCTGGGTGTGCAGTACACGAGTTGCACTGTGTTGATCCAGATGTGGTCATTGAAGGTTGTTGGTGACTGCATATCTCACCTTCACCCTTTTGTATGGGGTGTTGTAGTCCCATGGCCCAGGTCATATCCAGTTGAATTTGCAAATGCTCTCCTTGACAGCTGGCAGCAGGATTGCTGCAAGGACTCAGCAAGAAAAGCAGCGCAAAGCCTGTAGAGCTTTTTGACTGGTGTGCGGGTGT